CTTTTTACAGCGGGGTGTGGATCAGGGTTTGGCCTTGAGTAAAGACCAAGGGCCAGATTTCGGCCTTGGCTGTCCTTTTTCAATGGCCGATAGCTTCCAACGCTTTCGTTCGCACCTTTGTGCAGGGGGTTACACGTATCGTCCCCCCTGCCGCCCCCCTGCCCCGTTGCCGCCATGGGATCTGAATCTGGTACTCTCAGTGTTGCAGGAATCTCCCTTTGAGCCTCTGCGTGACATTCCAATTCTGACTCTATCTAGCCTTTCTGGTGGCACTCCCCTCGATCCGCAGGGTCTCGGAATTGGCGGCCCTCTCTTGCTCGTCCCCGTTGCTGGTCCTGCATCGGGACAAGGTGGTTCTGCGGCCTCGACCGTCCTTCCTGCCGAAGGTAGTTTCGGCTTTCCATCTCAATGAGGACATTGTCCTGCCTTCCTTGTGTCCGCGGCCTGTCCACAGGAAGGAGAAGGTGCTGCACTGTCTGGACGTGGTCCGCGCCATCTGTGTTTATCTGAGTGCTACGGCTGCGTTTCGGGAATCGGATTCCCTGTTTGTCGTTGCAGATGGCCCTCGGAAGGGCCGGGCTGCCTCGTCGGCCACCATCTCTCGATGGATTCGCGACACGGTCTCTCAGGCGTATGCTATTAAGGGGCGTGAGCCTCCTTTTTCTGTTACGGCCCATTCTACAAGGGCTGTTGGGGCATCTTGGGCTTTTCGTCATGGTGCCTCCGTTTCTCAGGTCTGTAAGGCCGCGACTTGGTCTTCTGTTCACACCTTTGCCAAGTTTTATAAGGTGGATGGTTTGGCATCTGCGGATGCTGGTTTGGGGCGCAAAGTGTTGCAGGCGGCCGTTTGAGGGGATTTTTTTGTTTTAAGTTGGGTTTGTTGTTTCTGTTGGCCCACCCCTCTTTTTTGGTACTGCTCTGTGACGTCCCTACAGTACAGGATCTCCGATCTGTTCCCTGTGTCCTTCAATGAACGGGAGAGAAAATAGGATTTTGGTACTCACCGTAAAATCCTTTTCTCTCCGTTCATTGAAGGACACAGGGCCCGCCCCTCTATGTGGGTGTGTACTCCTTTACTGCTTGTTACTAAACTGGAGACTTGTCAGCAGGTGGGGGGTTTTGGCCACCGGCAGGGGCCGCCCCTAGGCTGTGATTGGTCTTTAGTTTTGTGCCTAGCGTCCTTCTCCTGCAGGTGGCGATATTACCCTACAGTACAGGATCTCCGATCTGTTCCCTGTGTCCTTCAATGAACGGGGAGAAAAGGATTTTATGGTGAGTACCAAAATCCTATTTTTTATCAATTTAAGGCAAAGGGTGGTCACACCAAATTTTTATTTGAATTTCTATTCTGTTCATTTACTTTCCATTTTAACTGATAAAAATAAACTATTATCACTTTTATTTCTGAAAACATTCTGACTTTACAGCATTTTTTCACACTTTTTTTGAGCAATAGATAATGAGTTAATGTTTACATGGAATAATAATCAGGGTGACGTTTGAACCCCTGTGGACTGTTTCTATGCCTTCTCACCTTATGTGAAGTAGAGGATTGTGTTGCAAATTGCAATGTCACTTTATCTACTTTCCTATAGAGCTGTAACAAAGCTGCTAGGAGGAGATCTGTCCATTATTTATGACTTAACCATGTGGTATTAATATTAACATGCTTTTTTTCAGAGTTCAATTTACAGGGAACCTGTCATTACCTTGACTTGTTATATATATGCATGCTCCGGGGGCCCCCTTCTTTTCCTTGCTTGATTTAAAGCATATTGTAGAAATGAATAACAGTGTAAACGGGTTTCATTTTGTTTTTACTTGTATAAACTTTTCTTTTCTTTTCATTTCAGAACACCTCAGTTTCTTCAAAAGTAATATGGCAAACCCAGAAATTGAAAAATGAGAAAGACCGGTAAACTATACCTTTTTATTTACTCTTTTCATTTACATAGTGCTGACATTGACCAGTTCCATCTGTCCCTCATAGGAGCTGACAATCTGATGTCCCTAGCATATTAGACCTCAATATACACATTGCGTGGTAGGTCTGGGTTTATGCCAGTTATCCTTCCAGTATGAAGGAAATGCATTGGAACCCCAGTGCTGCAAGGCCACAGTGCCTCCTTTAAGCCACGGTACACTTTCAAGTTTGTTGTTAGTTTGTGCTGCACACAAACACTGCTCAGATTGTAGAAAGAAATCTGTTGATGAATATTGAGGTCAATTTAGTATTTCTGCCACACAAGAAGTCAGTGGAAAGAAGCAGTGAGACATTGGGTATTATAGGAATTCGGTGTGATCCATAACCTCCTCCTTCCGTCCACTTGTCATAAAAGGGACTTCACTCCAATTTTCTATTACAGTCTGTATCCCCAGAATGTTTTCCAGCTGTCATCAGAACAGGAGGTGAGGGGAAATCCCCCAAAGGGGACACCTGTCCTTCTGTCAACTATCTATGAGTTGATTTCCTCTCACGTCCTGTTGTGTCTCCAGGAGGAAGTGAAAGGAAATCTCCCCATTGGGATGCAGACAACATAAAAGACCTGACAAGGAGATTTATCATTCAATGTCTCATTAGATACCAAATGAAAATGAGTTTTAGATGTACACTTCCTCCAGAGCTAGTTCCAGACCACTAAAAAAAAATAAAACAAGTTCTAGATGCGCCTCTAAATACGCCAAACATAGCGTAATAATTAGTAATAACACGGTAGATTGGTGACCCCGGGTATAATCAATTGCCTTAAGGGATAAAGTCAGTTCAAGGGTATGTGTCAGTTGCTTCATAAATCTCCCTGTGTGAGCTATAGCCTTATATGCTTTGAATAGACATCTTAAGGTGGCCATACACTATGCAGATTTTGGTGAGTTCTTGAGGAACTGATCGGAATTCGCACAGTGGGTGCCGATGTCGCCACCCTTTCGGCCAGAATACCTCGATCAGCTAATCGAAGGAGCCAGTTAGAAAAATCTTTGTTACTTTGCTCATTGGCTGCCGTCTCTGTTCGGGTTTTCTGACAGCGCCCACTATCAGAATACAAAAGAAACCGGGGATTCCTCGATTAACGCTCTCGTAGGGTTGATGGAGGAATCTGCTTTATTTTGTTTTTATCAGCCTGTGGGTTGAATGAAACAAAATAGAGCAGTGTATGGCCAGCTTATTTCCCATGGCAGCCCCTATGATAACTTCTCCCTGAATGTCAGTGGTTATCGCTTTATGTTTTCAGGATGCTTCTGTCCGAGCATCACAGTCATCGTGTATCGGATGCTCTGGGTCTCATGCAGGAGATGTTATCGGATGCTCATCAGGTTACAGCTAGGAGTACCAAACCCAGCAGGCCCCAGACATCCCTGTCCAGGCAGCGGGCGGCCCAGCCCTCCTCTGCAGGGTGAGTTACTAGCAGTTCTTGTTAACCAGTCTCTGAATTACAGAAACATGTCAAGGAAAATATGGATATGTGATGAACAGAAAGTATTTTTATTTAGATGTTTTTAATACGAAGACCTTTACTTCATGCATCTGCTTAGCAATAGAGAGCCTAGGAGGAGGTTTGGTTTATTCAGGGTGTGAATCCACAGCCTCTGCCAGGCTTATACGATGAATCATCTGCCAGTGTATGGCTGGCCAAATGCATAAGAGGTCTATAAATAGGATTATTCCTGCACATCTTATAGCTGTTATCATACACGACTCTTGTGTTGTTTTCATTTTGCAGATCTCGTACTGTGGCTCACAACTTGTCCACTGGTCGGAATGAGAAAAGCCAGTCGGCCTCCAGAGCTGGTGTACTACAGCCAAGGTCCACGTCTTCTCCTATACGGACACAGACCCGAGGTAGTAAAAAGTGCAGTCTTGGTGTATTACTAAGCAGATCCCTAAAGAAAGCCTCTACCAACAGAAATATGAAAGCTGTTATTGCTGATGTCCTTTTGGAATGCTAATTACCTGGCTTGATCTGGCTTCAGTACATTCTGTCACACACTCAGACAAGCTTGCAGATGAGTGAAGTCAGAATTTCTAATCTGTGCACTTGGTCAGTGTAATGAGTGAAGCCATTGGATCAGCATGCCAGGAAACATTTCCAGAAGGTCAACATTCTTTCTATACTCTGTGCATGGTTCCTGACTCTCTGGTCCCTTGAGTAAGAACTTTAATAAAAGCCTGTACCTAGGAAGTGTGGAGTGTGCCAATGCTGACCTCCGCTTCTTAGAATGCCAGGAAGTGTGGAGTGTGCCAATGCTGACCTCCGCTTCTTAGAATGCCAGTACATTGGTCACTGACCTTGAACAAGTATACAGATTAGGAGTTCTGGATTTGCGCCTGTGGGTCACCACATTGGCTCACAGTACAATAATTCTCCAAAATAAGAACGTCCATCTTGTTTATACCTTGAGGTACTTTACTTAGACGCTCACCACCTCTAAGAGTCTGGTTTTTGCACATAGGCTCTGCTGAATACCAATTCTTCTCCCTGCTGAATGCTTTTCACACAGGAACGGCTACATTTGTCCTTCCAAAGAGCGTGTCCGAACCCATACTCCGACCTCGCAGTGTGCCCAGCTACGCTGCCAATAGAAGATATGGTAAGAGGCTTCTATTGCTTCCGTTATCTGTATGGGCATCACAACTACAATTACAGTGTTGTAGTGGGGACTGAAATACACTTACATTCCCTTTTTACATCCTTGTTTAAATTAATAGGTAATTGGTAGTGGAAAAGTCAGCAGTTTTGTTGTATCCATTCATATTTCTGACACTAGGGCTGCAACTAACGATTATTTTCATAATCGATTAGTTTGCTGATTTATTTTTTGGATTAATCTGATAAAAAAAACAAAACATCTTTTATTTAAAATAAAATAAACAAATGCCGTGTTTGAAATATAAAGTTTGCTTTAGAAAAAAAAACTGCATGAACATTTTTGGCAATTGCACCGTATTGCCAAAACATTTTTGGCAAGTGTCCCCAAATATGAATGACCTGAAGCCCTCTAAATCACTTCCAGTTCAATCATGATTGGGGACATTGTATCTGTGTACTAGACTTGTAAGCCAGCAAAAAATTTGGTTCCATTCAGATTTTTTCGTTATTTAGTTTTTCTGGATTCGGGTCCAAAAGTTAATACACTTCGGGATTCGGGCGAAATACGCTGGTGTAGCTGTATGACACAGCATAGAAGAGCCAAACCCTCTGGTCAGGATTCGTCAGTGTACCTACATCTAAAGGCATCCTAGATAGGGAGAGGACTGATTTAATAGAGGTGTGAACGAGGCCCGGATGAATGAGAACCTTCACAGACATATCTTTGGAGATGCTGGCTGATTGCTGACCTTGCCTTACCCCTGGCTACTTGCCACAGGTACGCTTATTACAAACAACAATTACCACTTTATACTCTTCATTTTCTTTCAGATCCGACCCTACCGGGAGATCGCATTTCTCAGATCACTCGCAGGGGGATGCTGAGTAGAAGAAACAGGACTGACATCAACAGTAAAACTACAAAACCCATCCTTAAAACCACAACAAAGCTGCACCAAGGTATGAGCTGAAAGTGAAAATGTTTTGTGACTCGGAACACTATGATCCTATTATGAGTGTGCTGTATTTCAGCATGGATTGTGTTTATTTTTCTCACAATCCTTTTGGTGTTCATATGTTCTCCCCGTGTCTGTGTCAGTGTCCTTGGAGTTTTCTTTCACAACCCTAAAACATACAGCAGTGCTTTCTGGGGCATATACTGATGGTTGTTTTTTTTTACGCACTTACTCCTCTCCTTTACCATATTCTACTTATATGTGTTTTACGTTTTGTATATAACTATAACTCCTTCTGGATGCAGTATGGCGTATGCGCAGGCAGTGAGCAGAGGGGTCTCAGGAAAAGGAACAAGGCAGTGTTTGCTCTGTTGTATGTCCTCTAGAGCCTTGGTTCTCAACTGGTGAGTCGTGACCCAAAAGTGGGTTGCGACCCCATGTTCAGTGGGTTGCCGCGTGGCTTCCACTTTTCAAGGTGAGAAGCTCTTCAGCCTCTCTCTATCAGTTCTTGTGCCAAACAGCCATTCAAAATATGCTGTCCAGTGCCGAATGTCAGCTTGAGGTGGGGTGGGGCTATGGCCGTGAGGGAACTACATCTATACGTACAGCTCACTCACATGTCCTGTAGAGGTGCCTGGACCAGAGCAACGTCACATTCTGGCTCCCGGCACCTCTACAGGGCACGCAAGGGAGCTGCACAAGCAATGGACATATGTATGGAGCTCTGTCACAGCACAGCAGCCCACACTGGACCCCAGGCTGAGGATCCACTCCAGTTCTCGTAAGGTCTGGAGACTTGGTGGATCTTTTGAATGGCCCCCCAAATGCATCTCCCACCCACAGTTTGATCGCCCGCACCGGAGCGTGCGATACCACAATGCTGTGCGTTTTTTTATTGCAGTGCAGTTTGGGTCGCGACTTAATGACCAAGGACAAATGTGGGTCCCGAGGTTACACAGGTTGAGAACCACTGCTATAGACGGTGCAATTATATAGAGACTGTAATGTGAAAAAGTAAGTACATCCCATGGAAATTGGTGACATATGTAAACAGACAAACATTAGATGTTCATTCACATAGTGCCTACAGATAAAGTGGTGACATAATTTTCAGAATTTAAATTAACAAAAGTGCAGATGTGTCATGTGGAATAAATAAGTACACCCCATACATTTATCACCACTTTAAATCCATGAAATTAGAATAAGGTGTTCTAGATTTAGGTGCCAAGGATTTATTAGGGAGTATACAGGTGGAACTTGTCTTATTTCAACTACAGGTATCCAGTTTCTGGTGTTCTCTTTGCTATAGATGAGTGTGGTCTCATGCCAAGATCAAAAGGCTCTGTAAGGCCCTCAGAAAGAAGGCAGTGGATGTCTATGAGTCTAGCAAGATCACAAAATTATTGGAAATCAGTGATTCTCCTGGATGGTAAATGGTCTACAAGTGACATAGATTTTCAGTGTCTGCTAACTTGTTCAGGATTGGCTGGCCCAGCAAGTTCAGCCTAAGACCTAAGCATCTCATTTTTAAATAAGTCTCCATGAACCCCAAAATGTATTTGCAGTATCTGCAGGTAACTCTTGAAACAGTCGTTGTCAAAGTGCACGTATGTACTCTCAAAGACTATACTCCAATTTAACCTGCATTGGAGATGTTCCATGAAAGGACTTCTGCTGCACAAAAAGAATTGAAGCAAGACAACAATTTTCCATTACACATACACAAAGACCAGGCCCAGGCTTTCAGGTACAATGTGCCGTGGACCTATGAATAAAACATAAAGTTGAATGGCCATAGTAACAGTAACCAATACCAACTCTGAAGCATGGTGGTGGAAATGTTATAATCTGGGGCAGCTTGCAGTTATCGAATTTACTATGAATTCTGCATCATATCAAAATGCACTTGATGCAAACGTGAGGCCAACTGGCCAAAAGGGGAGCCAGAAAAAAAAAAACGTTCAACACAATAATGATCCAAAGCACATTAGCAAATCCACAAAGGAATGGCTCAAATAAGAAAATTGGGAATTATGTACTGGGCCTGTCAAAACCCAGATTTGAGTCCCATTGAAGTGTTGTGGGGGATTTTAAACAGTTCATGCAAGGAAACTCACCTTCCAATCTTAACGTCTTGCAACCCAAGAAATTCTACATTGAGAGGAGAGGTCAAAAGTGCAAAAGAGTTGATGGCAGAGGCTAGTGGACAGTTATACAAAATACCCACAAGAAGTCATTTCTCCTTAAGTGGGCAATACCAGCTCCTGATACCAAGGGTGTACCTACTTTTTCCACAGAATGCCATTACATCTATTGATATTTTTGTTAAATATATCATGAAAGAGGCGACATTTCCTTGTATTTAAGTATATCACCTTTATCTGCAGACATTGTTTAACCGAATAGCTAATGTTTGTCTGCACAAATATACCGGGTGTAGAAAAAGTCAACAAGTTCCATGGGGTGTACTTACTTTTTCATATGACTGTAGATCTACTTTCTGGGTAATTTTTGGCTTGTAAGAGCACACCAGGACATTGTGTTGCTATACAGTATGTGTGAGTGTATATATCTGGTAAATACATGAGACTGTCAACATCTCAGGTGCAGAGACTGATGTGGGTGGCTTTATATAGGATGTAAAACGATATAATAGACAAAATGAAGATATTATGGGTAATAATTTTGGTCTTATCACTTGTTTTGTACAGATCGGAGCAGTAAGGCGACAAGTCCCCAGGTGCCCGTACAGGAGGAGTATGACCGGGATATTGTGAGCCCCTGGGAACTTCCCGAGGAGATCCACAGAATATTATACAGCAGCCAAAACTCCATCATCTCTCAGGTATATACCACAGCAGATGAGTCTGTTCCAGGTTGCCTATTTCCCAGTAGTCTCTGAGTTGCCTGTGCCCTGTACTGTACGACCAAGAAAACTGATGTTAATGGAAGAAACGGATTTTACTCGTGAGTAAAAAAAAACCCTCTTTTTCTTGTAAATCCTTTTCTTGGAGTCCATTGAAGGGCACGGGTCCCACCCCTCTGTGTTTATTATAATGCTCTTGGTACTGCTTTGCTACTAAACTAAGGCATACTGGTGATATGAGGGGGTTACCCAAGGGCTGGTATACAGGTTTTTTTCTTGTTTGTCAGTGTCCAGTCCTCCTGTAGGCAGCAGTATAACCCGACGGTTTACAATTTATTTGGCCCTCAGTGGACTCCTAAAAAGAATTTTACATTGAGTAGAAAAGTCCTGTTAAGTCTTCTTATGTGGAGTACTACAGGGGATGCTTCTTGGTTTGAAACGTTCACATATGAACCCCAGCGGTGTGTTGCTTCATTAACTGTTAAGAGTTTTGCACGCTCATTGGCAATGAAAGGAAACCCAGTACTACTGGACAGTGTACTCTCATGTGCAACCTGAAAAGCTTTACCTCAAAGATAATGTTTTTTTTTATCCCTGTGACTGTCATTTGACGTTTTGTTGGGCTCGGGTGAAAATAACTTTCAATTAAAAAATAAATAAAGATCCTAATTCTGCTGTGTCCACCTAAAGGCAGAAGACTCCCATATGAAAGTGAAGATTCTTATTATTGGGACAAATAAAGAGAAAATAACTATATTGGTGAAGACTTAAAATTGCTTCTACGACATTTATCGGTGTAAAGCTACTGAAAGGTGGTGTAAGCCAGATCTCCAGCCTGGCACTGGGGCAAGGAAGCCAGAGGAAATCTCTACACTTTCTAGAGGGTTAGATCCTCTGCCAGCCTGCAATTGTTGTAATGTCAATACTCGAGAATTCCTCTCACTTCCTGTCCCAGTGTCAACATTGTCCAGCAGTCCCGGAGACACCGATATTAACTGACTCTGCAATGCATGATAAAGATGAATGGCTATTGTACTGTAACATTACATTGGATGCGTCCTGTTATGTGTCTCTGTTCTAACGCAGGGCTCAATGGGTCTTCAAGACAACTCCCACAATGCCAACCGGGACAACGCTTCTGATAGCACTGGCAGCATTCTCAGCAAGCTGGACTGGAAGGCAATAGAGGATCTAGTGGCCAGTGTGGAGAGTACATAAGTGTCACATGAGCTGTGCCAATGGCACCGCCCAGAGAACTGTAATAATTACAGATCTGTATCCGTGTTTCACAGCAACATTCTCATTTTATACAAACTGCAATCTTTTCTGTAAGAACACGTCATTTTAAACTAGATGCACACACCCCATCTGCAGCCCACATGTGCTGGGATTCTGATCTTTACTTCTGTATGTAGCCACTACCCCTCCTGAACCATTGGGGAGGGGGTGGAGCTTAGCTCCAATGATGCAATAGGAACGTCTTTACTTCAGTTAACTGCTTCCAGAATACCGTGGTGTGGAGAAGTGGCTGTGGTTACACAAGGTCTTCGATCACTTATTAGCTGCTCCCTTGTTGAAAGGAAAAGGGCAGAAGCATGATTTAGGAACTAGTTGTTTAAACAGTTCTTACAAATAAATGGCTTTAAAGCTCTATAAAGTGACCATGTCACCACGGGGTCACCACAAAACAAAGCCCAAAGAGGAGGCTATGTATACTTACCTTGCCGCCAACCCATGAGTTACAATGTGTCTATTTTATTTCTTCCTGCCCATGGCAATCATGACATTTGTGTTTTCAATATCTGCTCCCCCCACACGCTGTGGTTGCTTTGAGGTTTTGTACATCACTACAGGACGTAGAAGCCAGCAGAAGGCACCACAGCTTGGGAGCAGCAGATGTCCCAGAGGTTGAATATCTGCAGCAGACATGGAGCGGTAAAGCATTCCACCATATGGGCTGCTGGAAAGGTGTGAATGGGCCCATGTAGATTCCTCTTCCCTGTCACACTAGACTGCAGTGCCTGTATGTGAACCAGACCCATAGGAAGGATTGGGATCTCTAATGGAAATGTATTTTCATGCAGAATAATAGTTTCATACCGTACAGAAATCACCCCTGTGGCAGCTCTGATTTATACAACCACCACTTCTGGGGTCCTGGGAAATCTGCTTTCATTGGCCCTCAGACTTGTAGCTGGTCACTGAAAAAATCTTTTCCTCCAGAACAGGAAGTCGATTCTAAAATACATTCCAGCCGGAACCCTGGCTGCCCTTTGACGTGTTTCAGGTTTAACTTTCCTATTTTTGTAAAACCAAGAACCTCCAAATATTTGTAAGATTATTTTATTTAAAGAGTTTTTAAATATGATTTGTATTTTATGTTTTAATTAAAGAAAAATAAAGTGTCTAAGTAAAATGAACAATGACATTGGAGCTTCACAGTTCTTTGAAAGCAGCTTGGCGATCACTGCGAGGGCTTCCCCTGACCAAGCTGCAATGTTTGTGTCTCCTTGTATCCTTACACCTCTGTGTAATCACCCCTGATAACCATTACCACGGCACAACTCATGTTATTTACTGACTCATCGTCTCAGAGGAGAGGGGTGTTCTTTGAATTGTATTAAGGAAATGGCTGCCAAGAAACGACTTGTACCTGTTTGCTTGTCTGAAATTAAAGCAGTTCTGTAGCTGTGTGGTGACCATCGTTATGTCCTTTACAGATGTTTCTCAATATGACCGGAAAATGTACAGCTGGCATCACCTCTTGGCCTTGCTTCAGAAGGTGAGACGCTGATCTCGGGTGACACGCAAATGTTTTACTTCCTCTGTTTGCCTCCTTTATCATCTGCGGGAGAAGTGCCGTGATTGGAGCAGTGTCCTTGTTTGTCTTCTACACTTAGAAACCGCCGGAGTTCTATAATACAAGTCATGTGCTTGCCTCCAAATACAGTTGTGTGAAAAGGAAGTCCCCCCCCCTCTTTGAATTGTATGGTGTTTTGTAACAGGACATAATAAAAATCATCGGGTCCTCAGCAGGTCTTAGATTTGGATAACTACAACCTCAGATGACCAACAACACAGGACACATTGCATCACCAAAATGGAGATGCCATGTGTGAAGTACACCTTATGATTGAATACCTTGTAGTGGCACTGAGGCCAGAAGATAGAGAGGCTTATAAGAAAGCCAGGGTTGAGGTAGACGAGGATATCAGGATTGCCTTAGAGGATTATAAACAGCCAATCGATACATTTATGGAGAATGAAGCTCATACTATGTGGCTGGGCATTGAGAACATAACTGGCTGCTGAGTAGCAATGTGCTCTTGGTTGATACTTCCTTACCAGATCAGCCAAATACCTTTTTATTTCTTTATCTGCTGAGCTGGCTGAGAATTATCCACCAATTATTTTCATTGTGGACAAATAAAGTGTGCCTTAGAGGACTGCAGGTATAACACCTATCTCACTGAACCATCACATTCTCAAACAATTCATCCCCACACAGCTACCTCCTCATATATTACTTGCCCCTCCCTTCTAGATTGTAAGCCCTCAGGGGCAGGGCCCTCCTTACCATCTTGTCTTGAATTGTATTGTGATTGTCTTCCTTATATTGTGAAGCACTGCGCAAACTGTTGGCGCTATCTAAATCCTGTATAATAATAACAACACTATTCTGCTCCTCCCTTCTCCTCCTCACTGGGTGCCGCTGCATGCTGAGGTCAGTGTCCCCTGCGATCAGGGAAAACAGACCGCTGCAGCCGGTGCCCAGCGGGGAGTAGAGACCACTGTGCCTCTGCATTCCCCCGTTTCTTATCTGCTGCCCCGTGCTCCCACCTCTGCCGGCGGTAAAACTGCGGCATCAAGCCTCCCATCCAGTGGCTGGGCACAATAGCCAGCCTGCTATTGGCTATTTTAAACACTTGCTAACCGGAGTGTTTACGGCCCTTTCCCATCCTGGTAATTTTTCAGTATTCAGCGCTGCGGTACTTTGACATTTATTCCGTCATGCAACGCTGTACTGAAATTAATTTTATACCCTTTTTTGGGGACAGATAGAGCTTTCTTTTGGTGGTATTTAATCACCACTGCGGGTTTTTATTTTTACTATATAATGAAAAAAGTACCGAAAATTTTTGGGGGAAATTTTTTTTCCATTACGTTATGTTATAAAACAGTTCTTATTACCCAAATTTTTGACAAAATGTAAAAGATGGGGTCACGTCGGGTAAATAGACACCAAACATGTCAAGCTTTAAAATTGCGTGCGTCCGCGAACTCGCAAAAACTACCATACTCAATACCATACCTTTTAAGACCCCTAATGTCACCTAGGGACCCCCAGAGAGCCTGATGAAGCAAACACCTGCTTCACCAGCTTCTCTCCGGTTTCTGTACCGGAGAGTGACAGAGGAATGCAGGAAGTGATGTAATACACATCACTTCCTGCATTCCGAAGAGGAGGAGCTCCAAGGAGATGTGTACTGAGCTCCGTTCGATCTCCGGCCGCAGAGCTGCTGTGCTGGTCCTGGGCTCACACCGGCAAAGCGGAGCTTGGGATCGCCAGCTCCGGGGGAGGGGCGCACACCTGCACGCACATTACAAGCGTTTGGTTCGTATTCGAATGTCCGAAAAGTTCGAGTTTGAACTCAATGCAACTCAATGGGGGTAGTACTTTCAGAAACGATGGTCCCCTTTAAGAGGGCTTATATGCAAGTTATTGGCCCTAAAAAAGGCAAGGGGGTCCGGGTACTGCTAGGGGACCGGAATCAATGAAAAATAAAAACAAAAAAAGTTTTTAAAGGAGCAGTGATTTTTTTACATGACTTAAAGGGTAAGCCTTGCACCTGTGGTCAGGTGCAAAGCTTTAACCAATTAGAGCTTCAGAAGGCACATTGCCTTGTGGGATGTTGTGTGGTCGAACAGACCGCGAACATCCCACAAAGGTCGTGCGTTCGGCGACCGCACGAACTAGCGAAGTTCGAGTTGAACTCATGCGACTCAAACATACAGCCCATCCCTACTCTCTGATTGTATTGTCAGCCATGGTTCTAATACTGTTACATTTGTGGATGATACCACTGTGGTAAGGGGGGTGAGGATAATAAGCACCCTAGAGACAAAGTTGATGCGCTCACTATTTGGTGTAGGAATAACAATCTGCAGTTGAAAATGAAGAAATGATTGTGGATTTTAGAACTATGAAAATTGTCACGGTGGAACCGGTGGCTAGTGTCATGTTTTTGGGAGTCCAGTCAGCCAAGGATTTAACTTCTAGTATTACATTTTTCATCTCTGGTTTTGAAGGCCCAGAAGTGTTTTTTTTAAAAAGAACTTTAAGATGAGACGGACTCTCCAAGAACTTGATGGTGAACTTTTGTCGTAGTTCTATTGAAAGTATCACATCGTTGTACTGTCTGGTATTCCAGCTGTACGGGGCCAGATAGGAGGAGTTTACAACCAGCAGAATGGATTGTGGGATCACTGCTCCCTGATTTAAAGGATGATTGTACAATCCCAAATAGTTATTTGTATGGGTCTCTTTCTTCTGGTAGCTCAAGTAAAATAGTGGCATGCACAAATAGGTTTGGAAACAGTCTTTTCTCCCCATGTGCGATGGATATTCTAATGAATTATAAGGGTCCCATTTAAATGTTTATTGAGGGGAGAGGATTTTTGTTTGTTTGTTAATTGATAGGGTTTTAGGGTTGTATGGCTTTTTAAAGCTGCCTTGGAGTGGGTTAATGCTAAACTAATTTTCAATGAGTCTTGTATGCAAGGATAATAAAGTGTCTTAGCACACCATTGGTCAGAATTTGTGCTTCCTGCTCCCTATATAGGAGAGAGTCCTCATATCCAACAATGGAAATGCCCTAAAAGCAGAGTAAGGCTAGCAGGGCTGCTAAATGGCTTAGTGAACAACTGGGATGCTGCAGCCAGGCCAAAAGGTAGAGCCATGAACTTATACACTGAGTGGCCAGTTTATTATCACCACCTGACGTTTGTAGGCAAATTAGCTATAATTTCATGCTGAAGTTGCTAGAGGGCCAGACCATTATAAATAGGGAAGCAGGTTGTTCACCACGACAGTAGAAGTGATTTTTTTCCTGAAGATACGGGTAAACAACGCGATTATACAGCCTTTGAACGTGGGATGATTGTTGGCGCTCGGAGCCATGGAGCGAGTATCAGCAAAACATTGTTAAATGTTCAAGAGCAGCTGTTGTTAAAGTGTTTAAAGACCGGACTGTCAGCCG